TGGCGTTAATAAATAACAATATAGGGGAAAGTTGTAAAAGTCAAATTATCTCAAACGTTCATCCTATGAAATATCGTAGAAGATATCATATCCTAAAAATGCTATTTCTTCCTGTATATATATATATATCACACTACTGATGTATAACGAGCGAACAATACTTGGTTTTGTGATCTTATTCCGTCGACCACACGGAGTATCAGAATATGCACTCGCACTTGTGGCTTCATCTATCCAGCGGAGAATAAGGTTTCAAGCGATGGAAATTAATGATTATTGAATCTTGGTGAATAACATTTTTCCAGGTCACGTGATAAACCCCTCTGAACTCGTAGATAACCAATCGGAGTCTTAGTCACAGGGAAGCTAACCGACGCCAGTAAAGTGTTTGATTAACTGGGTTCCACGTTTGCTTGTTCTTTAAATAGAGATTTGATAGGACTGATTGCAGTCCGTCACTTTTCCATTTATTGTGCTAAAGGATTTTCAGCAACAAAAACAACCCACTCTGCTCCTATGCGATCAGGCCCAAAATGAATAAACGTCCTGTGCTGCGAGGATGTATTGGATTGAGACACAACCAATCACGTGAATTCGCTTTGCACTCAAATGAGATCATTATAATGGATGCGAAAAAATGTTTGTTTGGATGTATGAGTGCTGATGTGCGTGCTTGCGGAAAAATCGATTAACACAAACGATCGGGAAGCTGGTAATTCTTATAAATACCTCAAAGCCCGTGTAGTTGTATCCGTTTATTCATTTGATATTGGGACTACTGAAAATAGAACTTACTCAATTTTGACAGTCTGTCTTGGGACCGATAAGTAACTAACCGTAAGTTGCTTTCATGTGCATCGTGGACATTTCCACACAAGATTATAAATTCATTATGAACCGACTGGATAGGATATTCCCTCTAATGGGTTTAACCGGCTTTATGGGCTTTTTATATAGCCCCTGAAAGATCGCATTCGGCAACACGCATGAGAAGCTTACGAGGTTTATTCTATTAGGTCGATAGAGCACTGAAACACTGATCAGACTGATGTGCATGGAATTGTCGTTAATATTGCTCGTTTTCTCACTGCTTTAAAGATATTTGCTAATTGTTGCCTAATAAGTAAGGGAAAGTTAATTTAAAGTAGAACTAGATCCTCATGTCTTTTCTTTACTCAGGCAGTTTATCAGATAGGGCTTCTTCAAACTGTATTCAACCGTTCGAAGTCGGAGGGTAATGAATGGATTACACGCCTAGAAGTTGGTCTTGATTCAATGAGCTTGAGAGAGTTTGACTAAATTTCTGATTCCTATTCACTCCATCCGGATTGTTTGATTCCAGGTTCAAGACTACTTCTAGACACTTCATTTGTTGATGGTCATGGAAACCACCAAACATTTCTTCGTATTTAGTATTATCGAACAGAAATCGATCACAAATCCTATGAAAAAGATCATACCAACAAACAGATTTGAAAAAAATCTATAATCTCGCGGTAGGAATTAGAGTGAAGATGAGGGTATAATACTGGATCAAGGGAAGAAAATTTGGCAGTCACATCAAACCTTCGAGAGTTCTTTTAACTCAAGTGTTTGATACCAAATGTTGGGTTGAATAACCACTTGAGGGTATAAACTATCGCGCTCTGAGAATCTGCTTTCAAAAGTTATTAACCGGAAACCGGGTCCTTAAAAGTAGCATACTCCACTAGACTACGGCAAGAAGAGGCGCTTCATCGATCTGGATGACAAAAGCTGCACACTAGCAAATTAAGAATAAAGTAGCCACAATGTATACGACCTTTGATATTTTTAGTGCATTGTGATGATAGTGATAGGTATCATATGGGGCAGTAACACCTGGTGCAGTTTTCTTAACAACCCGAAGTCCTATCGCTGAATGCAAATCAAACTACAATCTTACTTATTGATTTATTTATTGATTGCCCATATAGTGAGTGAGTTTACTTTTGGGTTATTAAATTTATTCAATAATCACAATTTATAGTAAGAAGAGAAACATAAACAGCGCGAATTTCGAATATGGTATTATGCCACGAATGATATGACTGGAGGTTCATGATAGGTTCAGAAAACGTCCAGTTAGGCATTGCCAGTCATAAATTCGTGATTGTTACATCTCACCTGTTCAGAGACTTTTAAGTTATACATCACGTCAACAGTTGCACATTGCTAGTATCTGTCTGGTTTTTAAGATGGTTGACCAAAATAATCTGGTTAAATCATACAAAAAGCATTAATACCGCAGAATGAATAGGCCCCAAATAGGCAACCAACCCTCCCCCGCCCTAGCAAATAAATGTCAACTGGTAACCGTTTAAACTGAGTTTCATGAAGCAAACTTTGTAATAATGCCAAACGAGAATAAGGTTGCAATATTTTACCAGCCGACCAAAATGAGCTGTATGTTGTCATTAGCAGAATTGAGTACTTACGATTGTTTTCCATTACTCAAGCTATTCATAAGGCTCGATAGAGTGGGGTTATGCGTTTCTTGGCGACAGAACTGAAATAATCTCATCTCGATTATTCTTAGGATAACCTTATAATAATATTTTGCTGATCTCATATGGGAATGACGTAACGAGCGTTAAGGGAAGCCGTACCCTTCAAAAGCGATTTCGTTCAGGAAAGCTTAAGCAACTTGATGCAAATAACCAGATATCTAAAAAAAATCAGCGATAATCCAAACCCTAATAGTTGTTTAGCGAAAATAAATTGTATCTGACTCACGATTCGTATAAGAGACTGCCAATACATTCACAGCAAGAACTCGTTCTCTTAGCCTGGTGAAGCAACTGTGCAGTGATTTCAAGGTCTTTCTTGGTACGTACAGCACGTTGATATTTCTGTGTACTTTTAGTTTCCCGTTTTCATCACATTTAGTATTTATAATCCGATACCTGATTACATAAACCAAGTGATAGTCACTTATCCAAGAAATGTTAAATCTTCCCCATTTATCGACATCTTTTTCATGTGATGTGATTCACTAGATGGCACATTACCCAAACCTGACTGAACTGAATATGCCAGACTATCCTTGTCCCGCGTACGAAGAAGCTGGCGATTCTAGTTCCGATGACGATACTGATGTTCTCCAAGGATTTATGTACAACGATTCTGGGGAATTAGTACCCGTCCCTAAAGATGGTCCACCAAATTCGGTGTCAACAACCGTGCCTACTACAGAACCCCCACCACCTTCAGAGTTTCCTCGTCCACCAATGAATCTGACTGCCCGATTGGAGGCCGGTAAAAGAGATGTGACCGTTCCGAGGGACGCCAATGGAAAATTTGGTGTGAAAATTACCCGAATGGGCTCTGTGAGTTCGCGCTTTTGTTGGTAGGACAACGCGCATAAAATGTGCATTATTTGACTTCATTTATCTACGTAATTTTCTTTTGACACTTCTGAAAGCTGCCTTAGGTAAGCAAGTACACGAAATAAAAATGATTTACTCATCTGTCAGGTTGAGTTTCAATTCGCGGAAATTAAGATTCATCTTTCATTTCATATTTCTTTATCATGCACTCACCGAACATTCTATGGATTGGTGTAACTCTTATTTTCAATAGTTGACGCTGACGTCACAAAATGCGATTTCAAAAAGATTTTCAATAAAAGGAATTAACAGCCGTATATTTCAATACGTTTTTGAGTCCAGTAATGAATCCTGATGCACAAAGCCTCTGATAATTTCGATACCATGCAGTAGACATTAAGAAAACTCACTTTCAATCGTAATCCGTTATGACAAAGATTCCTGTCAATCATTGGAAATATACCTCAGATCACCCTCTACAGGGTTAACTAAACAGGTTTGTCTAACTTGACATCAATTATTGCACAAGAAAACAAATAAAGCAGAAAATTCCTAATTTTATTTTTGGTAATGAACGCGAATAATCACTTGTTGCCTCCGTTATGGATCGGTAACGAATGATAAGATGTAAAGTGGGATTCCTTATTGGAGCTGCTTTTTAACATGATATACCAACCACTATGGTTTTTATCGCAAGCAACCCCTTCTTTCAGCACTCTGTGTCGGTTGTTAACTGTGAATTTATGCAATATGATATCAGGTAAACAGATTATCGGGTTTTGTTTCTTGTCAGCGTTACCAGCCCCCCAAACACCTCTGACAACTTTCAATCCCATCCTATTGCAGAGATTTTTCTTGTCGTTTGTTGAACAAAGTTCAAGTGCCGCAAAATGTGGTTTGGGATTCGGCGACCAGATTCTGGCTGTGCATGGAATTGATACCAGCAGAATGACCGGATCTAGACTGATGTGTGCTCTTGCACGCTCACCGGCCAAAGAGATCTGCTTCACCGTTGTTCAGAGGTAAGTACCCTGGGTTTCTAAATTTGCTCAAATGTTTTGTGAAACCCCAATAGAATGAGACAAAATGTTCTGGTGAAAAAAGGTTCAAGAGAGAGGATGTTTGCTCGTTGTTTAGTGTAAATCGCCCCCCAAAATGAAATTTTATTTATTCTCAAATCAAGATGAAACAGTAATCTTTATTTAATAAAGTTGTATTCATCTCATCCAGACCGAAAAAGGAACACCTGTCATGAGATGTTAACATTTTGTTTATTCTTCTCAGTTGCTAACATAAATCAAACAAGTGTATATATATGGCTTATTGAGTTGTTAAATTTGGGTAAACCGGTACGTACAGACAAACAGGGACTATTAAAATGAAATTCAAGAGGTCAACTCTACGACAAATGAACTGATTGCGTCAAAACCTTTCAGGTGCACAAAACGGGATGAGGCTTAACAGCGCCTCAGTAATTTCTACCAGTTTCACATTGCAGCTGCGTAACGGGTTTGAAAGAAGAAGCGGGATCAAGGATGTGTTTGGTTGTCATTAAGTGTCTTTTGCAGTAGACCGCCCCGGGTTCTGTGTGACCACCTGACTATCAAGTGTGGGTTGTATCATCGACTTCACTAACTGCTTAAAATGTGTTCAACCACTCGTCGTGATAATTTACGATTGGTTCTGCCTATGTACGCCTCACCGAAACTGCAGGTGAACTGATATGCAGTGTTTTAAACAGAACGGGATTGCCAACCGTTGTGCACGTTCGTCCAAATCTATTCTACGAGTAGAGGCAATAAGTCAAAATTGATCAGCTGTGAATGTGCCGCA